GTATCACACACACAGGTGTGTGTATTTCATGTGCTGAAACTTTTGTGTAAATCAGACATGTCAAACTCAGGCCCGGGGACCAAATTTGGCCCATGATGTAACTATATTTGGCCCCAGAGATCATATCAAACATTAGAGCCTGCCCACTGCTGTAGACAGACATGATTTATTTAAGAAGTTATTTTATATTCTGTTTGATCTGGAATCAATGTTTAAACAAAACTATTAAACATTTATTTGAATAAGAAAAGGTTTAACATTACAGATCTCCGAAGAAGAGAAAACATGCAGATGTTGAAAATTTTCAATAAATATTTAGTTTGGCCACGATTTAGACTCAGTTTTTAACTTTGGCCTCTGTGAGTTTGACTCTCCTGATCTAAACTGTTCCTTTAGACGTTCTTGGAGCTCAAATCATCTGGACAGAGTCTGGTCCTGACCCAGTTTGTTTCTGGGTGTTTGTTATTGTGGCAACTCAGGTCACTTCTGGTCGGTCTGGTGGAACTGAGGCTTTGATGATCCTGGATTGACCAAATAAGTCAGACTTTCAGTTTAACTCACTTCATGGAAAAACCCCAGGAGAACATCAGAACTTCAGACCATCGAGGAGAAGGAGAAGGAGAAGGTCTGTGTGAGAGAAGATGATGGAATGTACCTGGAATTTATGAATGGGCAGAGCGTCGAAGAACTCCTGAGCCACATGAACACTGAACCCTGAGAGAAAGAGAGAAAAAAAGAGAAAAGGGTAAAGAAATCAGGAGAGAGAAAGAAGAGAGAGAAGAACAGATCAGCAGCAGGAGGAGGAGAGATAAAGATGATGATTACAGTTTGATCAGTTTTCCCTCAGACTCCGACTCGGGGAGGGCATCTGACACAGTGCTCCTCACCTGGGGGGACGTCCTGGATGCGTCTGTACCACGACACCCGGATCCCGTCGGGGGTGTTTCCGTGGCGATACGCGGGCTCCTCCCCCTCGGCCTCGGTCACGTGACTCCGTTCTCCCGTCAGCGCCTCGGCCTGGAGCGCGCTCAGAACGGGACTCACCTCCACCAGGTGAACGGAGACCGAGGCTCCGCCCATCACCGACCTGAGCTGACGCAGGACCTGAGGGAGAGCGAGGAGACAGACAGGGGGCGCTCTCAGCACAAACACAACAAACACAACAAAACCTACTGATGTCACATATTTACATCAACATGCTCCTTTTATTGTTTGGAAAATATTTTATTCATTCAAAATGACGCTTCCCCTCCCTGTGCTAACTCACTCCCCCTTCAGAGCACTATCACAACACACTCAGCCTGTGTCCCACTAATGCAGACCTTCTCAAAAAGTTGAACGGTGCAATACCGGGGGGCACGTAAACGCAAAAGCCGCAACAAATGGAAACACAATAGAAATGACTCTATTTTAATGCAAAAGCCACAACACATTAAAAAGCCACAACGGATGTGACCACGGGACTCTATTTTCTGACGGACCGATCAAGCGGCAAGTGAAGAAGAAGAACTACAACGTGAAAAGTAAAGGAACGGAGAAGTTGGAAATGTAAGTAAAAGTAATTTATTGTTTTATCATTATTCGTTTCACGTTGTAGTTCTTCTTCTTCACTTGCTGCTTGATCGTCCGTCGGAAAATAAGAGTCCCGCCCTCATTTCTGTTGTGGCTTTTTAATGTGTTGTGGCTTTTTGTTTGTTGCATTTGTATTTGTTGCGGCGTTGGCGTTTGTTGTGGCGTCTCTCGGCTTCCGTACATATGACCTCGAAGAACATGCTTTTTGTCGCCTTACTAGAAATTTTTATTTATGTATGTTATTTTGGGCAAGTGGAGATTTACATTGTTTTACAATGGAACATAGGACATAAGTGAAATCATAATAGAAATTAAAATATCTACAACAAAAAAATTGCCCAAAAAGGAGTGGGAAGAAGAAAACTTAAATTTACTTATTAAAGTGTAAACAGATGTGTGACGGATAATACTCCCTACAACTGTACAACAACTCAGCCTCATGTAACAGATAATACTCCCTACAACTGTACAACAACTCAGCCTCATGTAACAGATAATACTCCCTACAACTGTACAACAACTCAGCCTCATCTAACAGATAATACTCCCTACAAACTCCCTACAACTGTACAACAACTCAGCCTCATCTAACAGATAATACTCCCTACAACTGTACAACAACTCAGCCTCATGTAACAGATAATACTCCCTACAACTGTACAACAACTCAGCCTCATGGGACAGATAATACTCCCTACAACTGTAAAACAACTCATGACCTCTTGCATAAAGCTGTGATTTTTGTATTTTATTGTTTATTTTTCTATTTTATTTTACATTCATATAATTCTGTTTTATTTGACACGTGTTTCAGAATTTATTATCACCATTTATATTATTTTTTATTATAATTTCCCTTGTGGATCAGTAAAGTTTGCCTAAGTCTAAGTTGATTTTGCAGAATAAATTCTCTTAAAGACGTTGTTGTTAAAATAAATTAATGTGAAAGTAAATATTTAAAAGTAAAACCGGAGCAGCGTCTCACCCTGAGGACGTCTGTGATGAGTGAACCTTTTCCTGGACCCAACTCCACGACCTGCAGCTGCTCCGGACGCCCCCCGGCCATCCACTCACTGACGATCCACACGCCGACCAACTGTACACAAACACAACGCACAAATACAACACAATACAACACAACACACCCCCCGACCATCCACTCACTGACGATCCACACGCCGATCAACTGTACACAAATACAACACACACAACGCACAAATACAACACAATACAACACAAACACGCCCCCCGACCATCCACTCACTGACAGTCAACTCTACACAAACAAGATAGTTGTTTTTCAAAATAAAACCAAAAATAACTGGAGAAAAGTGAAGGAGACTCAAAAAAACACTCATCGCAGGTTAAAAGACAGATTTAACTGGAGTTGGTGGAGTTGTTCAGAAGTGACACGGAGGATGAAGAACTGAGGTGATTTAGTGATTTGGAGAGAGATGGAGAGTTTGGTTAAACTTGTTCTGTTGTTTGTACTGGTGTTTCCCAAACACTGGGTCACGTCCCTCAGGTGGGTCACAAGAGATTTTTTTTCTTGTCTCTTTCTGGTCTGTGATGCTCAGTTCTACATTTTGTTCCAATATTTCTGGTTCAATCAAATGTTGAAAAGAAACAGAAATGTCCAGATAGTCGACTTACAGATTTCCTTTTATTGCTGCGTCAATGTTTTTCAAAATAAAGATACTGAAGCTCTGCACTGGATCAAAACTTGCACATACAGGAGCTCATCAGACCTGAGGGTTTAAATTGCAGAGTAGAAAAAGGATGGCAGATTCACTCTGACCTGTGGTGTATTTATTACTAAACTCTTTTTCATTGTTTAAACTTGAGTAAAACTTAACTGTTCAGAGACACGATCACTCAGTCAACAATAAAATCTCCTCTTTAATCTTCATTAATGATCAAATCCACCTTTATTTTGTGGTTTATAAATAACGTTTATGGACTTGAGCTGTGAAGGTTTGTGACTTTTAAAATATGGGTCCCCAGAAAAAAAAAACAGTTTGAGAAACACTGGTTTATGCTTTAGTTCATGTTATGTTAACACACCAGACACATGATCAGTCTGTTGTTCTCTGTTCTGTTGTTACTATTATTTGCCTTTTGAGAGAAAATGTTTGCTCTTGGTCTCTGATTTTATATATATATATAAAAAAAAAATTCCCCCAAAAAGTGCGACTTACATATATATATATTTTTCTTCTGCATTATGTATTTTTTGGCTGGTGCGACTCTGGAGTGACACACACTCCTGAAAATACAGTAAGTAGTTCCTGAACCTGAATCATTCTCACTAAACACTTTGCTCCTCATGTATTCAGTTTTAAGACATTATAAAGTGTTACAGAGAAAAATAACACAACAAAACCACAAACACAGATAAACACACAAACACACAACACACACAGATAAACTCAGGTTCAGGTGGAAAAGTCTGACCTCTCCAAACATCTGGCTGATCTCTGGAGACGTGATGAAGTCTCCCTCTGCTCCCAACATGTTGTTCCTCACATAATAACCCTGAAACACACACACACACACACACACACACACACACATAAAACACACACACACACATTTGTTAATCATTCAGATGCTCTGTCTCTACACTCGACATGTTCTCAAATGAGATTCTTGTTTTCTCCGTTCATATTTCAGTCTTTTTGTTCATTATTCTGTGTTTTAAAATGTTGTTTCCTCGTCCCTGCAGATTCTTCTCTCGTCTGGAAAACACTCTGTTCCACCTCATGATGTCATCATGTGGTCATACAGGAAGTGCTCCGCTGTGTTTTTAAACTCCACACACCTTCACCAAGGCTCTGTCCTGTTCAGCTGCGCACACGACTGAAAGGTTTTCATTTTTCCTTCCGCACTCTTCTCTCTCATTTAATGTCTCTGTGTTTAATCTTATGATGATTATTTATGTTTTGATTTGTTTCTTTTGTGATTTTAGTGCATTTCTAATTCTGTAAAAAACTTCAAATTACTTTGTGTACGAATTACTGATTGATTATTTCGGTCACAGGTATATTAAACTGAGTAATGTAATCTGAATACTTTGGATTACTTGATATTGTCATGATTTTTAAAACTACATGAATGTAACAACCACATCCTGAAAATTCATGTTTGTTTTCTTCAAATTGTCTGTTGAGCCCAAGTCTCCATGAACAGACTTTTGTTTTACTGTAGAGAAGAAAAGACGAGGATCTGAACATGAGAAGTTTGGTCTGATAAAAGAAAATAAAAAGCCCAGACTTTACTTAACCATATTAAAAATATTATTGATAGAGAAACGATTTTTATATGAGACACTGCTGCTTTAAATTATGTCCAACTACTGTTGGTGTCATATTGTTTAGTCCTGGTTTAGTCCTGGTTTAGACCTGGTTTCAGTCCTGGTTTAGCCCAAAAATTTCATAATGTTTGTTCTGATTTTGTTTTTGATAAACGTGGCCGTGCCTCTGAGCTCGTATCGGCTCTTTCAGATTTTGAACATGTTCTGTAAAGGTTTTGACAGGAGATTGTTGTTTACTTTGAACTTGATTTTCAGAGTGAAAAAGGTTGACTAAATCATAAAATTTCAGAGTTTGAAGGTTTATAAATAACACATTGGTTGATTCGCTCTTACTGACTTTTTTTGCACGTAAAGATTGGATTTGTATTGGTCTTATTTGTATTGCCCCAAATCTCAATACAGATAAACTCGCCTTGTCTTCACTAGAATCATTTGGATCATTTCATTAATTTCTGGTAAAAGGAGCTGTTCGCTTGAAAACGACCACTTCATGACATCACAAGGTGGTTGAACAGAGCGTTTGGAACTTTGGAGATGTAAACAGACTCATAATAAAGAGTTACTCAAACTCAACTCCAGCTCTGTTTTTGAGGAGGAAACATTAGAACATGGACTAAAGCTCTTAAGAGTCAGACTGTTGTAAAATAACTTTTAAAAGATTAATTATAAGATATATTTCCAAAATGATTCAGCTCTAGTTCACACAGATGAATAAAAAAACCCTAAGAGAGTTTGATGGTGTGAAAGTGCTCCTCACAGTGACGGGGTTGGTGAGCACCTCCCTCATGTACTCGGCCACAGAGATGGGACCCGTCGACTTGATCTTTGACGTCAGGTGTTTGAGCATCGAGGGGCGGGGCCTGTCCTCCGCAGGTGAACAGGTGCACAGGGGGCGGGGCCATCGCACTGTAACAGAAAACAAAAACAAAAACAATACAAGCTGTTCTCCTCTGCTCCATCTTCTGCTCCTCTGACCTTCTCCTCTCCATCTTGTTCTACCACTACAAGATTTTCCAGCAGTGCACAGCCCTGTTTGTTTGTGAAATGTGCTACAGAAATAAAGTGGATTGGATTTGGATCTTCTGCTCTCACATCATCCACCTCCATGTTTTCTTTCACTACATCTAAAAATCTGCTTTTTGGTTTTTTTCCTGTAGTTCTGACATCAACATCCTTCTCCCTCCTCTGTACCAAATATTCACCATAAATGTTTTTTTGTAATTCCATTCACTGCCGGAAACTAAACCAGGACTAAACCAGGACTAAACCAGGACTAAACCAGGACTAAACCAGGACTAAACCAGGATTAAACCAGGACTAAACCAGGACTAAACCAGGATTAAACCAGGACTAAACTAGGACTAAAGCAGGTCTAAACCAGGTCTAAACAAGGACTAAAACCAGGACTAAACCAGGTCTAAACAAGGACTAAAACCAGGACTAAACCAGGTCTAAACCAGGTCTAAACCAGGTTCTTAAACCAGGTCTAAACCAGGTCTTAAACCAGGACTAAACCAGGTCTAAACAAGGACTAAACCAGGTCTAAACAAGGACTAAACCAGGTCTTAAATCAGGTCTAAACCAGGACTATAACCAGGTCTAAACAAGGACTAAAACCAGGACTAAACCAGGTCTAAACCAGGACTAAACCAGAACTAAACCAGGTCTAAAACCATTTTGGATTACAAAGTACATTTTGGAGTATGTAATAGTAATCTGTAATCTGTAGGGGATTACATTTTAAAAGTCACCTTCCCAACACTGAATATAAATAAATGTTCATTCCTTTTACTTCATGTTTGTGTTTCACTCATTTGTCGTAAAGAAATACACCGTGTTTCTCCTCATTTTCTCCTAGAATTTGGTATCATAAATATATATACTGGTTGTTGTCACCTGCTGCAGATGGACTGAAGACTTTTCGGACCAAATGTGTGGTTTTAAATCGGAGAAACGGCCTCATCCTGCAGCTTTGTTTCACCTCTGCGCACGAGCCACGGGACTTGAGCTTTCAGTTTAGCTTCCGGCAATGTTCACGACAAAAGCGCAAACTTAAAACGCATCTTTAACAGGAGACAACAGCACGGGTGAAGCACAGAGATTACGGACAGTTTATACAAAAGATTTGAGATCTTAAAATGTCATAAAGCTGTGGAGTTTGGCGGAAACGCGGAGCGAACCGGAGCACGAGGCGAACGTCAACAAACGGCACGGGAAGTTGGTTTTTCAAAATAAAATGTAAGATATTATAATTTTTCCAATCTAATTTTATTTGTAGAGCACATTTGACAAACAAAACAGTTTCCAAAGTGCTTCACACAGCAATGCAAAACATTTTACTTAAAAAAAAAATAAATAAAAAAAATCAGCAGAATTATGTTTAATAAGGACACTAATAGAATAAATAAATAAATAAATAATAATAATAAAATAAATGAACAAAATAATAAAATCAATACATAAAAGCAGTACTAAAAATAAAATAGATAAAAACAATAAAAAAAAATACATAAATAAAATAAAATACTACTACTACTACTACTAATAATAATAATAACAACAATTATTATTATAATAATACTAATAATAATATTAATAAATGAACAAAAATAATAAAATCTATACATAAAAGCAGTACTAAAAAATAAATTAGATAAAAACAATAAATAAAAAATAAATACATAAATAAAATAAAATACTATTACTACTACTACTACTACTACTACTAATAATAATAATAATAATAATAATAATAATAATACCAATACTACTACTACTAATAATAATAACAATAAGTATTATTATAATAATACCAATAATAATAATATTAATAAAGGAACAAAAATAATAAAATCTATACATAAAAGCAGTACTAAAAAAAATCAAATAGATAAAAACAATAAATAAAAAATAAAAAAAATAAAATAAAAGACACAGAGGACGACACAACTCATGCAATTTTCTTTTGATATTAAATCAATTAAATTATTGAACTATTACTATACTTAGCTATTACTGTAATTAATGAACTATTGAAATGTAAAAATAATGTAAATAATTAAAATCTGTTTATAATATTAATTTAGATTTTTATTTTATTTTTTAAATTTCTCTGACAAATAAGTTAAACTATTTGAAAGCAGTGTCCATAAAATCATTGTATATATTAACTAAAAGCTAAAAACTGAATTTTATGATAAAAAAAAAAAAAAAAACAAACGTGTTTATATTTTGTAGAACGGATCCTGCGCGGTGACGTCATCTTGCACGTCCGGGTCACGCAGTCTCACGCTGTCGGGAGGAGAAAGCATGGCGCCGAAACACAAGCAGCAGAAAAAACGAGTGAAATCTTCCAAGATGAGGCTCGACAGCGCGAACGGAGCCGAGGAGGAGCCGGGGAGCGGAGAGCCGAGCGGGGCGAGCGGAGACGACGAGCCCGGGCCCAGAAACAAGACGGAAGACGAGTTTAATCTGGACGAGGTTCTGAAACTCGGAGGGACTCAGGTGAAAACAGGAGCCACACTCACTTTAATGCGACTCAAGTTTGTGAAACTGTGATTATTGTGAGATTTAAGTCTTATTATAATGTTGTCACTCCTCAAAAACAGACCTGCAGTTGTGTTTTGTCTCATTTATAATCAGTGTTGGGAAGTTTACTCTTAAAATGTAATCCCCTACAGATTACAGATTACACACCCCAAAATGTAGTGTGTAACTGAATCCATTAAATTACTTTAGGTGAGTAATGTAATCTGAGTACTGTGGACTTTACTTGATTTGCTGCAGAGAAGCAAAGACGAGGAAATCGTAACAGAAGAAGTTTTGTCTGATAAAAGAAAATAAAAAGTCCAGATTTTACTGAACCAAATTAAAAATATTATTGACAGAAGAAGAAGAGACACAGTCCACACAGCAGGATTTAGTCCTGTTAAGTCCTGGTTTAGAATTGGTTTTAGTCCTGGTTTGTCCTAGTTTAGGCCTGGGTTTAGTCCTGGTTTAGTCCTGGTTTGTCCTAGTTTAGGCCTGGGTTTAGTCCTGGTTTAGTCCTGGTTTAGTCCTGATTTGTTTAGACCTGGTTTAGACCTGGATTTAGACATTTTTTTAGTCCTGGTTTGGTCCTAGTTTAGACCTGGCTTAGACCTAGATTAGACCTGGTTTTAGACCTGGTTTTAGACCTGGTTTAGACCTAGTTTAGACCTGGTTTAGATCTGGTTTAGACCTAGGTTTAGACCTGGTTTAGCCCAAAATGTGAAAACAGTTAAATCCCTCTGTGTAATCCATTTATTTGAACAAAGTAACTGTAATCCAATTACCACTCACTGAAACAGTAACTGTAACTGAATACAGTTACTCATCATTTGTACTCTGATTACTCGGGTACATGTAATCTGTTACTCCCCGCTCCCCGACACTGTTTATGTTTGAGTAACTGTTTATTATCAGTCTGTTTACTTCTCCAAAACTCTTTTCCAGATTACAGCTCCTGAACTCTGTTCTTATTCCCAAATACAGACAAGTGTAAAACGTGGATAAATCCCTTTAAACACTGCACCAATAACAAGATCAAAGAAGTACACTGGAAAATAATTCACAAAATCTATTAATTTACATTTCCAAAGTGAAGAAGAAACCATTTCCCATCTCTTTTATTACTGTAAATACTCAAAGAAACTTTGGTCAAATCTAGAAACATTTATTCTGCAAAAAAACATCCTTCAGAATTAATTTCATAATAACGTAATAAACAGTATAATATTGAATATTTATTAAACCTGTGCGTTCTTTTGGGGAAATTTCATATCCATAAATCCAAATTCTCAAATTCCAGACCCGTTTTTAAAATCAGTATCCTGGTCATTAAGAATTATCTTCAAACTCTGAATGTTTTTACATTTGATGCATGATTAGGAAGAGCAGACGTCCCAGCAGATTTATATAAAAAACACTGATTTGTCTCAGTTTTATACAAGAAATGTCCCAGGTGTCCATATTTTTGACCAATTTGATCTAAACCAACAGTAAAGAGAAACATAAACTGACATTTGTTTGGGTAAAATACGGAAAATCTGCTTTAAAATGACCAAAACACAAAGAAAATGTGATTATATTGACTCGTGTTTGTAATAAACGGACCGAGTGCAGAACAGTTTTATTTAATTTCGCACTCGATTCACAATTTTTTTTATCACCAACCACCACAAACCGAGTGTCCCAGTTTTTTATTTTGAAAATCTGCTCACTCTTTTCACGATCAGTTAAAATAAAAGAGGAGGCGTCCTGTTTGTGGCTCCTCGTGACTCGTGTTTTTGTATTTTCCAGTCGGACTTTGTGATGTTGTCGGCCGTGGACGACTCGAACGAACTGATCGATGGAGGAAAGAAAGGAGCGATTGACGACCTGGAGGAGGGAGAGCTGGAGAAGTTCATCACCAAACTGGGCATCAGAGGTTACTCCGGTCTGCAGGTGACGAGTCCTGTCAGGCGTCTAAAGATCTTAGATTAAACCAAACTCTAAGTCAAGTGTAAAGTCCAAACATTTGTGAAGACAGAGAGACTTTGTGCACCTCGTTCCTCTTTTTAAAAAAGCCTTAAAAGTGGAAGAATCCACAGAGAACGATCCAAGTGTGGTTAAAAACTCGTTACTAAACACTGAGGACAAACAAAACGTACAAAAAGGAAACTTCAACATGTAGGAGATTTAAAAAACTGTTTGTCTAAATCAGGAGCCATAGACGCAAATAAATAAATAAATAAGTAAACTTTACTTAAAAGTCAGACCTGTTCCCGGTGCATGTTGGATTCTGCCAGGGCCGCACCTGTCACGCACCTGTCACGCACCTGTCACGCACCTGTCACGCACCTGTCACGCACCTGTCACCGGTTCTGTTCATTGTTTTTATGGACAGAGTTTCTCGGTGCCGTCAGGGGCCGCAGGGTTCGGTTTGGGGACCACAGGATCATGTCCTGTTGACTCCATCAGGTCAGGACTAAACCAGGACTAAACCAGGACTAAACCAGGACTAAACCAGGACTAAACCAGGACTAAACCAGGTCTAAACCAGGTCTAAACCAGGTCTAAACCAGGAAACCAGGACTAAACCAGGTCTAAACCAGGACTAAACCAGGACTAAACCAGGTCTAAACCAGGTCTAAACCAGGTCTAAACCAGGACTAAACCAGGACTAAACCAGGTCTAAACCAGGACTAAACCAGGACTAAACCAGGACTAAACCAGGACTAAACCAGGACTAAACCAGGACTAAACCAGGACTAAACCAGGTCTAAACCAGGTCTAAACCAGGTCTAAACCAGGACTAAACCAGGACTAAAACTAAACAGGACTAAACCAGTCTAAACCAGGTCTAAACCAGGTCTAAACCAGGTCTAAACCAGGACTAAACCAGACTAAACCAGGTCTAAACCAGGTCTAAAACCAGGTCTAAACCAGGACTAAACCAGGTCTAAACCAGGTCTAAACCAGGACTAAACCAGGTCTAAACCAGGACTAAACCAGGTCTAAACCAGGTCTAAACCAGGTCTAAACCAGGACTAAACCAGGACTAAACCAGGTTCTAAACCAGGTCTAAACCAGGTCTAAACCAGGTCTAAACCAGGTCTAAACCAGGACTAAACCAGGACTAAACCAGGACTAAACCAGGACTAAACCAGGACTAAACCAGGTCTAAACCAGGACTAAACCAGGTCTAAACCAGGTCTAAACCAGGTCTAAACCAGGTCTAAACCAGGACTAAACCAGGACTAAACCAGGACTAAACCAGGACTAAAACCAGGTCTAAACCAGGTCTAAACCACTAAACAGGTCTAAACCAGGACTAAACATTCTAAACCAGGACTAAACCAGGACTAAAACATCTAAACCAGGACTAAACCAGGACTAAACCAGGATTAAACCAGGTCTAAACCAGGTCTAAACCAGGTCTAAACCAGGTCTAAACCAGGACTAAACCAGGACTAAACCAGGACTAAACCAGGTCTAAACCAGGTCTAAACCAGGTCTAAACCAGGTCTAAACCAGGACTAAACCAGGACTAAACCAGGACCTGCAGCTCTGGGGCGGTTTGACCCGAGTGTGAAGCGTCTGGGATGAAGATCAGTTCCTCCAAGTCCAAGGTCGTGGTTCTCGACCAGAAAAAGGCGTCTTGTCGTCTCCGGGCGAGTGGAGAGTCTCTGCCTCAAGTGGAGGAGTTCAAGTCTGTCGTGGGCAGGTTTTGTTCTCGAGTGACAGGGACAGGTGGACAGGGCAGCGTGGACATGACAGGTGCAGCGTGGGCAGATTGACAGGTGACACAGGTGGACAGGTGACAGGTGCAGCGTGGGCAGATTGACAGGTGGACAGGTGCAGCGTGGGCAGATTGACAGGTGACAGGTGCAGCAGTGACAGGTGGACAGGTGCAGCGTGGGCAGATTGACAGGTGGACAGGTGCAGCGTGGGCAGATTGACAGGTGGACAGGTGGACAGGTGCAGCGTGGGCAGTGATGTGGTCTCTGTATCGGTCGTTGTGGTGAAGAGGAGCTGAGTCTGGATTTAGCGTCAGTCTCTGTTCCTCCCCTCACCTCTGGTCATGACCCGAAGGACCAGATCCACGATACAAGAGACACAAATGGAGTGAGGAGCTCGGAGTAGAGCCGCTGCTCCTCCACGTGGAGAGGAGCGTCTGAGGGGAGGACGTCTGTTCTGACGTCTCCTGGACGTGTCCCTCAGGAGGTGTTCATGTCCCACCAGGAGGAGGAAGACCCAGGACACACTGGAGGGACCATGTCTCTGGACTGGACTGGGAACACCTCAGGTCCCACTGGAGGAGCTGGAGGAAGTGTCTGGGGTGAAGGAAGTCTGGGAGTCTCTGTTCAGACTGACTGCCCCCGAGACCCGACCCCAGAGAAGAAGAAGAACATGGATGGAGGGAAACATGACTTATGATTCACATCAGCAATAATTAATTGAAAGAAAAATGTAAATAGATCAAATTATTTTTAAGGAAATAATCATGTTAACCACAAAGACCAAAATTACCAAAAATCCTGCATTTTAAGTAAATATTAAATCAAACAAAATAAAGAAGTATTATCTCTCTAGTTTCCTGAACATTCTCCCCCCAAACCACACGTCGTCTTTATAAAAACAAACTTGTATTGGTTTATTTTATCATGAGTTTTTCTGTTGTTTGTTTCAGGTCGTTCCTGATGAAGACGAGGCTCCGGAAGAATCCAACGTGAAGAAACCAGAAACACAGAACGAGACGAAACCCAAAGAAAAGGAGAAAAAGTCTGAAAAAATCATCAGTGAAAAAACCGCAGACGTCTGAAGACCAGAGACCGAAAGAAAACAAGAAGGTCAAAGTGAAAGCCAACGTGTTTGAGTTCACCAAGAGGAGCGTTCTTCTCATCAAACCTGGAGGGAAGTGGTACGACAACGACTACAGCTCTGAGTCCTGCTCCTCGGACCAGGACAAAGATCTGCTCTCCAGGTACAAAGCTCTGGCCCAGCAGCTCCTGGAGAACGAGGTGGACGTGTACAGGACCAAGAAGAACCTGCAGAAGGGAGCGAACTCGGCCTGGATGAAGACGGTGGTGTCCGCCGGCGTCCTGGCCGATCGGATGGCGGCGATGACGGTTCTGATCCAGGACTCTCCGGTTCATTGTCTGGAACATCTGGAGAACCTGGTGTCCATGGTGAAGAAGAAGGGCTCCCGCAGGTACTGGAGCCTTCACACTGTGAGGCGCACGTTCTCCAGTGTTTTAATTACAAACTATTTAACTCAGATCAATTAATTTGGAATTTAAAAACCTGATGTGAACGTGGGCAGTGGAGCATTTTCTGTATCACCACATGACATCACAAGGTGGAACTGAGTGTTTTCAGTTTGAGAGAAGAAGGTTCGTGTGTTAAACGTGTGAGTGAAACAAAAAAACACAACTATCCAGGATCAGGGAACAGTGTGATGTACGACGTAAAACATTAAAATTATAATTATGAATGTTCCAGAATGTTCTTAAACTGTCGGCGACTTGAATCGTTCTCGTGATTTTAGCGTTAAAAGTCGTTCTTTTTTCTTCTCAGGATGGGTCTGATGGCCGTGGACACGATCCGAGAGCTGCTCCTGTCCGACCTGCTCCCGGCAAACCGAAAACTCCGCCCCTTCTCCCAGCGTCCGTTCGCCGCGCTGGAGGAGAGGGCGAGCGGGAACCGAGACGCCCGCGACCGCCGCCTGCTCCTGTGGCTGTTCGAGCATCGCCTGAGCCTCCTGGTGGCCGAGTTCGTGGCGGCGCTGGAGACGGTCTCCCACGACACGGTGCTCGCCACCAAAACCAAGGCCCTGATGACGGCGTTCGAGCTGCTGAGCGCGCGGCCCGAGCAGGAGAGGGCGCTGCTCACGCAGATGGTGAACAAACTGGGCGACCCCGAGTACAAACTGGCGGCGAAAGCGACGCACGTGCTGGAGACGCTGCTCCACCGACACCCAAACATGAAGAGTGTGGTCTGCGCCGAGGTCGAGAGGCTCCTGTTCAGAGCAAACATCGCCGAGAAAGCCCAGTACTACGCCCTCTGCTTCCTCAACCAGGTACTGCGCCCTCTGCTACTGCGCCCTCTGCTGTTTCAGTCAGGTATGTTTCAGTCAGGTACTGCGCCCTCTGCTGTTTCAGTCAGGTACTGCGCCCTCTGCTGTTTCAGTCAGGTACTACACTCTCTCTAATCCAGTTTGAATGAACATCAGTCAGAAACAAGGCGATTTACAGAATTAAAATAGCCAAACTTAAATTGTCAAGTTTTATTTTCTTAGCCCGTGACAAATGTCAGACGTGTTTTTACAACCGAGCCGCAGATAAAGTGACAGAGACGAGGTTTTTGTTTACATAGTCGACTTTTATTTGTCAAAATGTAATGGACATAATAATGACATTTTTCACATTCTTCCATTGGAAATAAACACAAACTGCTCAATAATGCAAAACAGACTCTTTCTTTGCCTTGAAAATGACGTTTTCAGACACAGGACATCACATTCATGTCCTGAAAAACGTTTGTGTCGCTCTTGGAAATAAAGTACATTTTCATAATCAGCAGAAGTTTCCTGTCCAGGAGTAATTTGTGGACCAGTGGTTCAGTCTTTAGACCCTTCGTCTGCTTCAGTCGCACCATCGCTGGAATGAATCTACAAGAATCACCTTAGTTTGGCTTCGCTGCTTTTCCCCTTGTCTTCTTCTTTCACCTCAAAAACGGACTTTCTTTTGCGGCGAACTGCTCCTGGATTCTTGTCGCCATCGCAACAAACTTTGTGCGAACTGTGAGGAAGATATAGGTCAAAAAAGCCGCTAAGAACTGTTGCGTTGGTGGAGTAAACAGCGTCTGTGTCGTACGTAAACCACGTACCGGCGGCGCAGGCAAGTCAGTTACACTAGAAACGTAGGGAGTTTGATTGACAGCCTGTCAGCTCACAGATAACGAGGCAGTGTCGTTATCTATTGGCAAATGTTTAGCTCCACCACGTCCAGAGTTGATGAATTTTTACTCTCTTTTTTTTGGTCATAATTACAAGGCGACTGCATCTATAATCTATCACTGACAATTTGAAACACAAAAAATCCTCCATACGACCTTTAAAGGGAGAAAAGTAATTGTTGGCGATAATGAATGAATTGGTTAACGCAAAATGAACTCGTGAAGCTGCTCGGCCCTGATAAAAACACAAAAACACAAAAACAGGTGCAGTAAAGAGGAGATGTGTTTTGTTGAACGGTGGTCGTGAGGTTTCAGCTCGTTTACTTCTCGTTCTCTTCTCGTTCTCTTCTCGTTCTCTGCTCCGTGTTTGTCCAGGTGATCCTGAGTCGGGACGACGCTGACCTCGCCGCTCGCCTCATCGGGATCTACTTCTCGTTCTTCGGCTGGTGCGTGAAGCGGCGGCAGGTGCAGGGGAAGATGCTGAGCGCGCTGCTGAGCGGCGTGAACCGGGCGTATCCTTTCGCCGCGGCGGGAGACGAGGCGGTGAAGCGGCACATGGACTCGCTCTTCTCCGTCGTCCACACCGTCAAGTTCAACACGGCCGTGCAGGCGCTCATGCTCCTGCACCAGGTCATGGACTCGCAGCAGAGCGTCTCCGACCGCTACTACGGCGCCCTCTACAGGTGAGCCACAGAACGAACGCCGCAGAACGAACGCCACAGAACGAACGCCACAGAACGAACGCCGCAGAACGAACGCCACAGAACGAACGCCACACAACGAACGCCACACAACGAACGCCACACAACGAACGCCACACAACGAACGCCACACAACGAACGCCACAGAACGAACGCCACACAACGAACGCCACAGAACGAACGCCACACAGAACGAACGCCACAGAACGAACGCCACACACGAACGAACGACAACGAACGAACGAACGCCACAGAACGAACGCCACACAACGAACGCCACAGAACGAACGCCACACAACGAACGCCACACAACGAACGCCACAGAACGAACGAACACGAACGAACGAACGCACACGAACGAACGAACGCCACACAACGAACGCCACAGAACGAACGCCACAGAACGAACGCCACACGAACGAACGAACAAAGAACGAACGCACACAACGAACGCCACACACACGAACGCCACGAACGAACGCCACAGAACGAACGCCACAGAACGAACGCCACAGAACGAACGCCACAGAACGAACGCCACAGAACGAACGCCACAGAACGAACGCACACGAACGAACGAACGCCACACAACGAACGCACACACACAACGAACGCCACACACGAACGAACAACGAACGCCACACAACGAACGCCACAGAACGAACGCCACAGAACGAACGCCACAGAACACAGAGTTAGACGGGTTTAGACCGGGTTTAGACCGAGTTTAGACCGAGTTTAGACCGAGTTTAGACCGAGTTTAGACCGAGTTTTAGACCGAGTTTAGACCGAGTTTAGACCTGGTCCTTCAGTCCTGGTTCAGTCCAGGTCCTTGTCCTGGTCGTTGGTTTAGTCCTGGTTTGGTCCTGGTCCTGGTCCTGGTTTAGTTCTGGTTTATTTCTGGTTCAGTCCAGGGTCAGTCCTGGTCCTGGTCCTGGTCCTCTTTCTGGTCCTGATTTAGTCCTGGTCTAGTTCTGGTCTAGTCTTGGTTTAGTCCTGGTTCGTTTCTGGTCCTGGTCCAGGTCCTGGTCCAGGTCCAGTCTTGGTCCAGTCTTGGTCTAGTTCTTGGTTTGTGGTTGCAGGAAGCTCCTGGACCCGGGTCTGTCTGGATCTTCTCGTCAGGGGATGTTCTTGAATCTTCTGTACAAGTCCCTCAGGTCGGACTCGGTGCTGCGGCGAGTCAAGTCCTTCGTGAAGCGTCTGCTCCAGGTCAGCGGCGAGCAGAGCCCCGCCTTCGTCTGCGGAGCGCTTTTCCTCCTCTCAGAAGTCCTCAAGACCAGACCAGGACTACGGACCCTGCTCCACAACTACCAGGTGAGAAGAAGAAGAAGAAGAAGAGGAGAGGAGGAGGAGGAGGAGGAGAGAAGAGGAGGAGGAGAGAGGAGGAGGAGAGGAGGAGAGGAGGAGGAGAGAGGAGAGGAGGAGAGGAGGAGAGAGGAGAGAGAGGAGAGAGGAG